ACTGAACCCAGAAGTTAAGAGGCTGTAGTGCACTATAAACATACCTGTGAATGGCCACTGTACTCCAAACTGGGCAACACAGCAAGACCATCTCTCTCTCTCTCTCTCAAAAAAAAAGATTCTCGGGCGGCGCCTATGGCTCAGAGGAGTAGAGTGTTGGCCTCATATGCCAGAGGTGGCAGGTTCAAACCCAGCCTGGGGCCAAAAAAAAAAAAAAAAAAAAAAAACCACAAAAGATTCTCATGTGTGCTCTCTTGCCCTCCCACCTCCCACTGTCTGCCATGGATGGCAGAGTAAGAAGTCTCTTGTAGGTATGGGCCCCTCAACCTTGGACTTCCCAGTCTCCAAAACTTTAATAAATAAATTTCCTTATACAAATAAAAGAAAAACAAGTTAATGCTAGAACTGAATTTTTAAAACGTAAAATTTATTTTTGGAATAAATAATACATTTACATGGCTCAAAATTCAAAAGATACACAAAGATATATACTATAGGTAACCACTGTGACCAGCCTCTTGTGACAAGTAGGGAACTTGTTTCTGCCTCTCCTGGAATTATGAAAAATGTCAAAGCAACCAAAAGTTTGAAAAGTATATAAACACCCTTCAACATTTGCATTACCTCCCATCTTTTGTGTGTATACACACACGCACACACACACAATTTCCTACACAACCGTCTTACTATGACGAACCAAAGAAATTCTACCTTGACACAGTAAGATCCTATACAGTGCTACTGCACATATTTCCCCCCAGGAGCTTTGTGACAGCTACAGACTATTTCATTGACGTCACTGTTCCCAAATGCCAGACTGTTTTCAGTGTTTCCTGACAATAAACAAGGCTGTGCTATATGTTCTGCCCTGATTTAGGATGTATTCTTAAAGACTAGTGCTCTCAGCAGGGTTGTGCCAACAGGGTTCCCCAAGCCACTTCTCTCACACCTCTGCCTTGGATGCTGGGTGCTTGGGCTAGTGGTCTTTCTGTTGTCATGAAGTGTGCTTTGATCTCCATCATCCATATTCAACTCTTAAATATTCTTCCTGGTTTGTACAAGTTTTCTTTTTCTTTTCTTTTTTTTTTTTTTTGAGACAGAGCCTCAAGCTATCCCCCTGGGTAGAGTGCTGTGGCTTCACAGCTCACAGCAACCTCCAACTCCTGGGCTCAAGCGAGTCTCCTGCCTCAGCCTCCCAAGTAGTTGGGACCACAGGTGCCCACCACAACGCCCGGCTATTTTTTTGGTTGCAGCCATCATTGTTGTTTGGCAGGTCCAGGCTGGATTCGAACCCGCCACCTTAGGTGTATGTGGCTGGCGCCTTAGCCACTTGAGCCACAGATGCTGAGCCTGTACAAGTTTTCAAGGTAAATATTCAACATTAATTCATATTAGTTGCAATCACTTTCCTTTTTGATTTCATGTGGAATGTTCTGTTTACAGTATCTTTACATTTAGAAGAAATCAAATCTGTATACTTAATTTCCTGTGGTTTTTCCTATCACTTTTGAGTTTAGAAAAACTTTGCCATCCAGAAATCAGATATGGTTTTCCCTAGTTTTTTTTTTTTTTTTTGAGAAGGACTCTCAAGCTGTCCCCCTGGGTAAAATGCCATGGCGTCATAGCTCACAGCAACCTCCAACTCTTGGGCCCAAATGATCCTCTTGTCTCAGTTTTTCTATTTTTAGTAGAAATGGGAGTCTTGCTTTTTCTCATGCTGGTCTCGAACTCATGAGCTCAAACTATCCACCCGCCTTGGCCTCCCAGAGTGCTAGGACTACAGGTGTGAGCCACACTGCTCAGCCTAGGTTTTCCCATTCAATTCTTGGGGCCTGGCACAGTGGTTCATGCCTGTAATCCCAGCATTTGGCAGGCCGAGGTGGGTGTATTGCCTGAGCTCACAGGTTAAAGACTAGCCTGGGGCAATGGCTGGGGCTCAGTAAGTAGGCTTTGAACCCGCCCCATATGCCGAGGATGGCGGGTTCAAACCCCGCCCTGGCCAAATTGCAACAAAAAAATAGCCAGGCATCATGACGGGTGCCTGTAGTCCCAGCTACTTGGGAGGCTGAGGCAAGAGAATCACCTAAGCCCAAGAGCTGGAGGTTGCTGTGAGCTGTGACACCACAGCACTCTACCAGTGGCAATGGAGACTCTGTCTCTAAAAAAAAACCAGCCTGAGCCAGAGCGAGATCTTGTCTCTAAAAAAAAAAAAAAAAACGTAGCTGGGCGCCTGTAGTCCCAGCTACTTGGGAGGCTGAGGTAAGAGAATCACTTGAGCCCAGGAGTTTGACATTGCTATGAACTATGATGCCATAGCACTCTACCAAGGGTGACCAAGTGTCTCAAAAAAAAAGATTTGATTCTTTAACCCATTTAATACTGTTTGGCCCGCATTAGTTGCGAAATCACCTCCCTCTCATATGTGCAATCCTTTCTTAAGATAAATCCCTGTAGACGTTCCTGGGCTGCCTGGCCTCACTAGTCCTTCCATGGTTTGGGCCCATGTCATACTCAACACACAGGCCCTGCTGGGGCTCCTACGGGGCCATCACTCTTAGCAGTCCTCACCTGTTTCTTCTTCCTCAGACCAGCAGAGGATAGTGAGGTGACATCAATAGCATGGGTTCAGTTCCACAGAATTGGATTCCAATCCCATTGCTTCCTGTGTGACTTTGAGCATGTTATTTAACCTGAGTCTCTTTGGGGCTAATAATATTTACATGGTAGGCTCCAGTGAGAAGGATGTGAAGCTGTGAGCAACACGTCCAGCACAGTCCAGGGGCATTCTCAGGTACTAATGTTATCTCATGAATTCTTCCCTGCCTCCCCCAAACAAAAGAAATTCGAATGTGGATTTTGACTAAAATTGAGTTAAATCTACAAATTCCTTTGGAAAAGAATATCTTTGTATAACATACTTAGTCTTCCATCCAGGAATGTGAAGCTTATCGTCTTTTATTCAAGTTTTCTTTTATATCTGCTGTAAAGCTTAGCCATTGTTGGCACAGGCTAACGTTTCTTGTTAAGGTCATTCCTGGTACACTGTGTGTCTCGCTGGTGTTCTGGATGTGACCTTTTTGCATGCTAGATTCCAGTAGGGAACTTCTAGTGTGTGGTTTCATTTGTTGGCTGGAGACATAGAACACAGAACCTTGGACACCTCCAAAGCCTGTCTGCAGCTCTGTGAGGAGACAGCCCGGCCTCCCATCAGTGTGTCCTTCACAGGGCTTACTGAGGTATGGCTAGCTCTCCTGTGGTTATTCCCCCATAACAGCCACCTGGGCAAACTGGTGTGTATCTTGGCAGTGACTGTGCTAGGAGACCAGGTCTGTGACACACTCTACTGACAGTGGGGCTGGGATGGCAGATTCTCCCATGCGTAGCTCTTGTGTCTGTAGAGGGCACCTTTTCATGGCTCAAGCATCAGACTTGACCAGGTTTGGAAAAAGTCTAGTTTATTGCACTGTTTCAAAGCACAACTAAAAATTAAAACCAGAAAGGAAATTGTATAAAGCACTGAAGCTACAAGTAGTTTAAAAGTTACCAACTAACTGCACGGAGCCCTGTGAGTTGAGGAGAGCGCGGTGCCGTTCCTGAGGAACAGGCAAGGCACAGCCTGGGCAGCCTCTGCTATCACCAAACTTTTAAAAAGGGCTCTATAAAAGTGAAGTGTGAATTAAGATCTGAGATTTCAGCATCTCGTCCTCATTTAGACCTGGAAAACCTCCATCTTCATGGCTGGCTGGGTCCTGTCAGAGAACATATTTTATTTATCTCCACCTGTAGCTGGCAGGGGTTGGGGAGGGTGGGTCCCTGACACTCTCACTTAGTAAAAAACAGGCATCAAGTAACTGGGTCTGGGCCAGAGGCAAGCTAAAAACAGCAATGACCTGGAGTCCTGCCTTGGAGCTGCTGTGGGGGTGGGGAAGGGCAGTGGGCTTAGGCCAGCCTTGTCCTGAAGCTCTGATACAGATGGGTGCTGCCCAGGACTCCAGGGACTCAGGCTGATAGGGTACCACCACAGCAGGCCCTGGTTTCACCTCTGTGGGGATGTCAACCCAAAGGCTGCCCCCTGGAGCTAGGGGCAGGTCCCGTGACATTCTGTAAGTCCAGGGACATGCTGAGCATGCTTGCCTCTCTGAAGCTGCAGGCAAGAACAGTATAGGCTTGGGATAAACCACGGGAAGGGACAAAAGGCCTTCCAAGAAATGTTTTCAGAAAATACATTTCTCTTCTAAGTTTGTAAGATTTGATTTCAAATGAGGTATCTTAGACAGGTTTGTAGTACAACAAACAAAAAAGGCAATAATTAGTAGATTCATCCTCTGAGGATGCGTCTGGTTTTATGATATCTGCTAGCAGCATTAAATATCATTCCCAAGGTATTTCTAAGTTAGCCACCATGGCTGAGTTCCCCATGCCAGCACCCTCCTGTGCCATCCCTGCCACGGATACACGTGCACACTTCCGCATTCCATTTGTATCCATCGGCCTTTATTGTTCTGTCTGAAGTGTGTTCTCCAGGAGGTAGGAGCTTGCCCTATGTGTGGGTGGAGAGGGTGTGGCATGGTGTGGCACATGTGCAGCATGTTCTCCATCCTGGCACAGCCGGTGCCTCCCCTCTCACACTTGGCCCTGGTTGGCCATCTGGAGCATCTGGGATGGGATGTGCCCAGAACCTGCATGTTGGGTAGGGGGCTCCAGGATGGAGACCTAAAGCCATCACTGAGCACACTCAGGGCTGGAAGTGCTTTTACTTGGTTTAGCCTGGGGCTATGAATGCAGAACTAATCCCTGGACCAACCTCTCAGGTGTGTCCCCTACTCCTGGCTCTGGCTCATCCTGCCCATGGAAGGCTTCCAGAGTCATCTTCCACCAAGGGAACCTGGAATTGTTTGTTGGTGAGAACAGGACTGCAGCACACGGGTAACAGTAGTGCATGCAACTGGGCAGCGGTCACTGTCCCCCCAAACTCCCCCCCCCCCAGACAACCTTGGCAAGAGTTCAAAGGTGCTGCTGCCACAGCAACCACTCCAATTGTTGGCAGAGGCTGTGGCTTTGGAAGGAGACAGAAACAAACATGGATGAAAGCAAGTACTCAGTGTCCAACATGGCCAGACGTATCTGGACAAGGGCTGAGGTGATTCAGAAACCCACAGGGTCCACTACTGGAGTCTGGCTCCCTCCTGCTCCCAGGGCTCCTTCAGATGACCTCCCATTCGTCCTCCAGGTCCTCGGGGTGGGGGCTGGCGGCCTGGCTGTTTTTCTGAGTGACATGTGAGTGGCTAAACGTCTTTGTCAGCCGCTGGAGCAGGTAGCCAGGAGGGCCCACTGCCCACAGCTCATCGGATGTGGTCACTGCAGGGACAACAGCCAATCACACACTTGTCAGTTATACAGACTGGGGAAAAGGGCACAGATGGAATCAGAAGCCTGGATCTGCATCTGGGTCTGACCAAAGTCCAGCTATGGGGCCCTGGACAAACCACTTCTCCAATCTATGATCCCTTCCCTCAACTTTAAGTTAGGTGTCACAGTAGTACCCTATCCTTTTCCCAGGAGATTCCAGCAGAGCCTGGTGTTTGGGTACTTTCCCTCAAGGGGGACCGTGGGATGGGCTCCTGCAGGAAGAGCAATGGCTTGTTCTCGCTCTGGGAGAGTGGAACTCAATGGACAGCCTCTTTTTTTGATACAGAGTTTCATTTTGTTGGCCTCCGTAGAGTGCTATCATAGCTCACAGCAACTTCAAACTCCTGGATTCAAGCGATCCTCTTGCCTCAGACTCCCAAGTAGCTGAAACTATAGGCACCTGCCCCCATTCCCAGCTATTTTTAGAGACAGGGTCTCACTTTGTTCAGGTTGGTCTTGGAACTCCTGAGCTCAGGCAATCTGACTGCCTCAGCCTCCCAGAGTGCTAGAATTACAGGCATGAGCCAGTACACCTGGCCACTGGTATAGCCTCTTCAAGAGCCCCTGAGGACCCCCAAGGGAACACCACAACCTCTAGCCCACTAAGCCCCAGCACCTACCTGTGAAACATGATACGTTTCCCGGAATTTTCTTCCAGTAGTCTCCAGCAGGGTTTTTGTCTGTGATTCCATACCGTCGGGCAAGATCACCATTTGGACAGCGGGCCCACACAGTCCTGGTGCTCAGTGCCAGCTGGCAGGCCTGCAGCCCTGTGGGAAATAGGGAGTCCCTACTCAGCACCCCCTGCACATAGGCAGGACCACCACTTCCCATGAACCTGCTCTCTCCCGATGCTGCAGTCATCTACAGAGCGTCCTGGTGGTGACAGAGTGCCCTGCACCAGGCTGGATATGGAGGGGGAGTGAGGCAAAGGATGCCTAGTTGGCCATGCATAGTGGATGTCTGTTTGCTGGTTCCTACCTGGCACGTGCTCCCAGTCGGTCCCCACAGGCATTTCCTCAGTGATCCCTACTCGAACGTGCACGTTCCACCGGCTGTCAAGTGCCCACAGCATCTGGTCATTGGGGCTGGAATGGACACTGACCAATGTGACCCCGGCAGGCTGGAAGCCAAAAAGGACTTTTGTCAGGGAAGGAGGGGTGGGGTGATGGGAAGAAGGATAGGAGACTTGGGGAACCAAGTTGAACCATGGGCAGCACACATCTGACTCAGGACAGAAGGGGCAACAGTGGCAATGCTGGCAAGGGGGAGTGGACATGGCCCTACCCTTGGTCACACAGGGAAGGAGGAGCTCTTCAGTTATCCTCAGAATGTTGCAGAAACCAGATGAGGGATGGTCCAAACATTAGCCAGATGCCCACAGGGGTGGGGAACCTGTAGCCTTCTGATTTCAAGATTGTTCTTTTTTAAGCACTAAAGGAGGCAAGAAGAGCTTCATCTTCTTTGCTATACCTCTTTAATAAAAGGATTTGTTCTATAAAATTTAGATTCAGTCAAAAGGTAGCACTTAAGGACCTAGGAGGCCACATGTAGCCTTATAGCCACAGGTTCTCCAGCCCTGGATGGTCCAAAAGGAAAATGAAGGAACGAAAGGTGGTGGTGGGGGGGGAGGGGCAAAATGCAGGTCACCCTGGCCTAGTTCTCAGACAGTCTTTGTCCACACTCAACATCTCCTGGCCCCTGTCCATTTGTCACAGGACAAGAGTAAGTCCTTTCAATGTCCTGTTTGCTGTCTACTGACCAGCTCCAGTGTCCCAGGGCTGCCTACCCTTACCCAGAGGCAGCCTCCATGCTGGTGAGGGCAAAGGTACCTGGAGGGTCTGGGCCTCTGGTCACTGGCAGTGGTGGTGGGGTGACCTAAGCCCTGAGGGTCAGGCTGTTCCCCACTGCCTGATACTGCCCACTTTTCTGGACTTCATAGTTGTCCCTGTTGTCTCTGTAGTTTGGGGCTCTGTCTCTCTGTCAGTCTTGCCTGGCCCAAGTGGGACACCAGGAAGATGATAACCAGTCAGCTCTCTCTTGGGGCTGCCATGAATACAGGTCACCCTGTGCACCTCCCATCACACTCCATCTACACAGGGCTCTGGTCACATGCCCCTGCCTGGCTGCCTGCTCTCCTTACCCAGTGGCACTCTGGGCGGGGGCTTCCTACCAGAGATCAGATGAACAGATAATTACCTCCTGGGGAGGCACCAAGTCCCAGCACCTCAGTGCCAGAGCCAGTTATTCAATCAGGACACAGAAGATGAACAGAGACACAGCAGTGAGGAGCGCAGCACATTTCTACCAGTTATCGATCCTGAGAACTCCTGAAGCTGGCATCTGCTTTGTCTGCCTCTCGGCCCTCTAAGGAACATCTAGTCCTCCTAAGACCGCTGCTGGAGCTCAGTGGGCCAAAGTGACACACTTTCAGGTCATGTCCAAAACTAATCCCCAGATGCACCCACTGAGTTCAAAGGGAACAACACCTACACTCACTCTACCTTGAGAATGGGGAAGCTAGGGCAGCCCAGGAAGGCAGGGCAGGCCAGGTAAGGACCACACAGAGAGCACCTAGCTTGCCCGCTGACTCTTGGCTTGGGTGGTGGTAGGGTGCTGGTGTTGTTCCAGAATTAGATGTGCTCATGCATTTCTTTTTTTTTTTTTTTT